TAGGGTAGTGGCGGTACGCAGGCTACTTCAGGAACATGCCCTTTAAACTCCCACTATTAACTTTTTATTAAAAAGCAAGTGCAAAGTAGAAATGAAATGGACAATATGTTTGCAACACTGCGCTTTTCTCATTCCCGCGCTAATATGATATTTTCAACTCAAACTGCATGCATGCGTTAGAAAATTAACCATTATATTATGATCGTGAAACTCGTATAAAAGCTGCTTTCCACTTCAACCCTATCGTAACGTAGCTTTTTTTGTTTCGAAGTGATTAGTCCCATTCTATATATAGTGCTCTGGAAACAAAGAAAAACGCTAGTACGATATACGGTTGAAGAGGGAAGCTAGCGGCCTTAATTAAGGAACTAATTGAAATGATGAACAAAGTTTTTATTTTATGATGCAACAAGCAGAAACAAACAATCTTTCAGTCATATACGCTTATTTACTTACTCCTCATGCCTTAGATATGGTGCCACGGGTTTGTCAACAAACGATCCAAAAGCTAATCTGGATCTGTTTGTAAGTTCCCTTAACTTGGCAGCTGAAAATAGAAATTAATTAAATTTAGCTGATCAAAAATGCTCATTAAAAGTTCTTTAAACTGTTACACGTTCAAGTTATATGTCCAAATTATGTCCAAATATATGTCCAAAGACGCAAAGTGGTAGTTTTATGAAGGGGAGTCTTGACTTTTGATGTACAATTGTACAACTTGCTCTGAACCCAAACCTGATGGTTGGCTTCAGAGCAAGACAAAAATAACAATGCATACCATGGTGACAAAAGTTAGTATATACTTACAAATATCAAGTGCAAGCTTCTTAACATTATTTAAATCATCTTTCATGGTGGCAGTTAAATCCATCAATATGTAAAAATCAACAGGATAGTTCTTGGAAGGTTCAATTTCTATTTTGAATTTGACAGGCTCACCTAGAAACAAATAAGATGATATAGAAAACTCATTTGCCATCAAACAAATTCAAAAATAAAAAGTCAATTACGCATATACGTACAGCAGCTTGTTTTAAATGACATTTGGTTTGTACAATTTAGCACAGAAATTCAAATCAGAATCGTGTATTCTATGCAGGGTGTATAAAGAAAACTGAACAGATATGAATTTGCTCTCAATTTTGCTAAACAGCTATTAGTATCCAGTTTTTGATGTATATAACTTCCTTGGGTACTTATGATGTAGAATAATGAAAAAAAATTCTCGAACTCAAATTCTGTGAACCAGGGGGGGTGTCTTTTCCAACAAGCTAAAAATGGCTTGCGAACGAAATTTAAAAGCTATAATCATATTTTGAGTTAATAGATGGAAAATATGTTGAGTTTTTAATTACTGTACAAAATTTCAGACACTTTTCTTTAGTTTAAGCCCTTTAACTATTCATTTTTTCCTGAAAAATCAGCCTTTTGCATGCTTAATTAATGCCTTTACTTAAGGCATTAATTAAGCATGCAAATAGCTGATTTTTAGGAAAAAATGTAAGTTTGTGCGAATAGTTAAAGGGCTTAAGCTAACGCAAATTGTCTGAAAGTTTGTACAGTAATTACAAACCCAACAAATTGTTCATTATTCTACATTATTCTACATTATAAGTACCCAAGGAAGCTATATACATCAAAAACTGGATACTAATAGCTGTTTTGCGAAATTGAGAGCAATTTCAAATCTGTTCAGTTTTTCGTTTATACACCCTGTAGAGTTGATAACTAATTATAACAACAACAAAACGAATATTTTTATATTATTTTGGACGTTTATAGACGTCAAATACACTTTGGTGCTAAACTTGCAAAACAGTGTTAAAAGTAGATAAATGTTATCGTTTATAAAAGATTGTTCTTAAAGCCATTTTAAGTAAAGGCAAAGTCTCACCTGCTGAGCGATGCGATTTTATGTCAATATGTAATTCCATATTAATATTTATCATTACATGAAAGTCCACGGGAAAAAAAGTTTAATTAATTAAATTGAAGATTGGGAGTAAATTAGGCGGACTTTCATTAAATAATGAGCACCATGAGCCATATAATATTGCCACTTCTTTAAGAACTTTAAGCACTAGTAACTACTAGTTTAATGCGAAAAACGTCAGAAAATTCATATCGCTGCTCAGCAGGTGACACTGTGCCTTGTGCTACTGTGTATCGCCTAAATAACAAGTTGTATATCAATAACACAAATATCGGACTGTATCGGAAAATAATATTTTCTGATACCGGTGTTCAGTATTTTTCAAAACTACACGAGCCTATAGCCCAACATATGTCACAGTATCAGGGCATTTTTTAACTAATTAGCCCCCCCCCCCCCGCCAAAATCACTTCTTTAAAAGATATTGAAAAAAAATGAAGAATAATTTAGTTCAAGAGAATGTATTAGCAGTTATTCTCAAGGCTAATTTCCACTCAGGAAAATTATCCGTGGATTGGAACGGACAAGAAAATGTTTCTTTGTGTTAAAATTAAAGTCATTAGTTCCAACCCAGAGCTCATAAGACAAAGAAAAACTTTCTTGTCCGTTCCAACCCACGGATAATTTTCCTGAGTGGAAATTAGCCTTCACTCAGTTTAGTGTATTTTCCAGTTTAAGGAAAACTGGAAAACAAAACTTGATATTACTTTGACGAACGTCACTATAATCTATTTGCGTTAATGAACATTTATTTAGTTCCTTTCAGGTCACATATTGACGCACATGTTGTACATTTAATGTTTTGGAGGGAGGTCCCTTTTTGCCAATGCCCCCCCCTCCCCCTCCACTCGAATATCCTTAGAAAATGCCCTGGACAGTATATCTCATTGGTCATCACCCACCATCGAGTTAATACAAAAATCTAGTGTATATATACCAACCTACACGCACTCTGGACGAAACTTTTTTAGGCGTTATCTGATTTAGGTCTGTCAGCTTCTCCTTCTCGAGCTAAAGAATGATGAGGTGCAATAAATCAGTATTCGAATTATTTTATGAAAGGTTTTAGCCTGCACAGGTTGGATATATATGAAGACTGCCCTTTAAAAACGCCGTGGTTTAAATATTTCCAGGTATGTTCCTGGCTAATTTTCCACAGTCCTGGTTAATTTGATCATAGTCCTGGTTAATTGGATCATAGTCCTGGCTAATTTGATCATAGTCCTGGTTAATTTGATCATAGTCCTGGTTAATTGGATCATAGTCCTGGTTAATTTGATCATAGTCCTGCTTAATTTTATCATAGTCCTGGTTAATTTGATCATAGTCCTTGTTAATTGGATCATAGTCCTGGTTAATTTGATCATAGTCCTGGTTAATTTGATCATAGTCCTGGTTAATTGGATCATAGTCCTGCTTAATTTGATCATAGTCCTGGTTAATTTGATCATAGTCCTGGTTTATTTGATCATAGTCCTGGTTAATTTGATCATAGTCCTGGTTAATTTGATCATAGTCCTGGTTAATTGGATCATAGTCCTGGTTAATTGGATCATAGTCCTGGCTAATTTGATCATAGTCCTGGTTAATTTGATCATAATCCTGCTTAATTTGATCATAGTCCTGCTTAATTTGATCATAGTCCTGGTTAATTTGATCATAGTCCTGGTTAATTGGATCATAGTCCTGGTTAATTTGGTTAAAGTAACTCAAGATCAGGATATTGAACTTGAGTTACTAATATTACTGTCATGTTTAGTCAGAGAAACTTAATGACAGATTGAACTTTGTTTAACGTTTTAAGATTGACTTTATATTTCCACGAATCTGTCCAACCTCTAATCTTCCGCCCATACGCCTATCACATAAGGCGTACAATATGTCCTCCCAATTTAAAACTTAATAAAATTAAATGGCTAAATTAGCCTGTGCGACATCACATGTGCAGGATTTACTCCTTTTGCCTAATTTGCCAAGAGTCAAGACCGTTAAGTACCCATTTAAGCTGGTCTCTTTATTTTCGAGTAGAACAGAGCGAAAATATTGAATATAATCCCATCTCAGCTGATAAAAGAAACATCTTTCCTGAAGTTAAAGGAAAAAAGATTTCGCTTAAAAGATATTGATTCTCATTCATTTATTCATTTGTTTGTTCGTTCACTATAATATATTGAACTCATTCTTTTGCAGCACACTTACCGTTGGTTTAGGGTCTGGATTGCCATTGACTGTCATATTACATTGGAATATGGCATGTTGCTGTGGTGTGTTACATCGGGTACTTGTATAATTCTAAAATTGTCATACAGTATTTTATTAGGTTCAAAATTACTATAAGTATGTTTTAGTTATAGTCATGGCAATCAATAAGTTCGTTCAATAATAATAATAATTAATATATTATTATTGCTGTCGAAATAAGGAATGGGAAAGTCCGGACTTGTTAACTATTTGAAATATCTGATTGTCTTGTATATATCTTCATGTATTCTGTCTTGTCATTTTTATTAGTTCATAGTTGTGATTCAAATAGCCAATTGTAAGTTACCTTAACTTAGTGAGATTTACAAATTACAATTGTATATATATAGTATATAGCACAATTATTAAATAAAGTTTCCATCGTTGTCGTTGTCGTTGTCATTGTCACAATCATAATCATAATCATAATCATAATCATAATCATGCATAATCATAATCATAATCATAATCGTAATCATAAGTTATTACCAAATCTGATATATATGCTATCTCATGCTTTCATCGTGGTCACATGATAAGGCAGTTTAATAATTAAGCCTATAATAAGGCCCCGTTTACATGAGACCGGAACGAAGTCAAACCGGGACCATTTCGTTTCGGTCATAGACTTAGTATTATTTATAATAGATGTTTACATGAGACCGGGACGAAAATAACTCATATCGGTCTCAAGTCATTCCGCCTGCTGGACCGAACCGACTGACTTCAGACCAACATGAATTCAGACCGGGATGAATGTAAACACAACTACATTTCAGACCGGTCTCGGCTGTAACCTTGACATTGGAACAACACATGCTAACAAAACCTATCTAAAAAAGAAAATTGCCTGGCAAGGAGAATAAATTGAAAATTTTCTGATTTTCGTACCGGTCTCATGTAAACATGTTGACAATTTCAATTTTCATTAACTTCGTACCGATCTCATGTAAACGGGGCCTTATTTATAATAGATGTTTACATGAGACCGGGACGAAAATAACTCATATCGGTCTCAAGTCATTCCGCCTGCTGGACCAAGCCGGCTGACTGAAGACCGGCATGAATTCAGACCGGGATAAATGTAAACACAAATACATTTCAGACCGGTGTCGGCTGTAACCTTGACATTGAAACAACACATGCTAACAAATAAAAGCCATCTAAAAAAGAAAATTGCGATGCCTGGCAAGGGGAATAAATTGAAAATTTTGTGATTTTCGTACCGGTCTCCTGCAAACATGTTGAAATTTCAATTTTCATCCCGGCTTGACTTCGTACCGGCATACCTAATTTTAAGAATTTTTTATCACTGCACATTTTTGTGCAAAGTTTAGCCGAGCAGAAGCCACGCCCTCAAAATTTGTGAACACATCCTTTTAATGTCTAACCAAAAGACAGGCTACAATTGATATATAAAATGATCCCAAAATCAACATGCACTGCAAAGCGCCCAGGGTCCCCCAGGGAAATTTGGGGGCCCAGGGCAAAAATTGAGTTGTGGCCCCTCCTGATTCCATCTTCTAGCACTATGATTAAGAGGAACTGGGGGCATTCTCCTGAGAAAATTTTGAAATCCCAAATCCTGCATTCTGGAAGTTTGTTGGTAGTTATACCTATATTTCAATGTAATTCTTTTTTGGGCCACCTTTAACTGGGGTCCAGCGCAAATTGCCCCCTCCCTCTGGGCGACCTTGACAGCACCTGCTGTTACGACTTTCTATGACAGCGTAGTTTGATAATCATATGCTTGCAGGAACGAAAAATTTTCGTCTTGATAAATAAGAGGCGGCTTAGATGTGATAAACTTTTATTTATTTATTTATTTAACTTCGCCATTATCATGCATGCATTCATGGCAGGGTCACCACAACAGTATATGTTACCAATTACTGTGGGCCCTTTAAATTTTAAATAGATAATAAAACACAAATAAAATACAACGAAAGAGTTCCTGGGGCATGCACCCACAGAACATTTTGTACTAGCCTCTCTCAAAGGGCCTTTTTGTCAATGTGCGGGGACATTCAATAGAATCCTGAGGATTATATACTAATACGATTACAAAAAGTTAAGTATCATTCACTCCAACATCCAAGCTCATAAAGAGATCGGATCTTTGATGGGAGACTTTGTTCATTTGATCAACCTTAAGTAAAATATTAGTGCTGAGGTTCGATAATTTGGCATCTTTTATTTCAATTTCATTCAGGATATTCTCATTCAAAATTATTATTAATACTTTCTAGTGACAAGACAAGTTTTTAGTTCAGTTTTTTCTGCTTGTTGCCTCATTTTCTTCATATAATTAACAATTTATCACAGCAAATTTTATCACTGCACATTTTACCACTGCACATTTCATTTTTATCACTGCACAAATTGGTTATCACTGCACACCAAAATTAGGTATGCGTACCGGTCTCATGTAAACGGGGCCTATAAGACCTTGCAACTTGTTGGAAACTTCATGTTATTACAATTGATAAGACATACCACATCTGAACACCAAGCACATCCTGCTAGTTGCAAGCATGACAAACACTTGTTAGACTCAAGTTCTTCACAATTACCTAAAATTAACACATTTTTATAAATAACATTCATTGCTGTAGTGTTGGATTATAATAAAATGACTGAAAATTATAGTTTTGTGTAGCATTTCTTGCAAATTGTTTGATACAATCCAGGTTTTGCTCACATGCTCGCAACCTAATGTGAAATGTATAGAAATATTGTCCATTATATTTCTATGGTGAAATGCCATGTTTTAAATCCCATACACATTACACAATAGACCTTTTTCATAATGACGTCAAACGCGGATACTATAGGGAGTTTACAAATGAAGACGGCGACGTCAGGACGACAGCTATCAATACAATAACATAATCCTATAGCACAAAAGAAATGAATAATTAAAAGTCTAGCAGGGGTTTTAGACGTCGTCCAAGTTCTGTTGACAACGGCAAAAAGCATATTTTCACGTCTTGTATAGTACGCTAGCATTTCACGCCGTGACAGGTAATTTTTCTGGCAGAGTTGTGTTTTACTCGATCGAAACTATTTTAAATTCATAAGAAAGTAAATACAAGACAAGATTTCCATACAATCATTTATTTCGAACAATTTGTTTAGCCGTCGTCCTGACGTCGCCGTCTTACATTCGTAAACTCCCTACTCACGACGTCCCACAGGAGAATTTTTGTGGCTAGCCCCCCCCCCCTGGGGCTAGCCACTATACTATGATATGAGCGATGGTCGGTCAGCGATGTCTGTCCGAATTGTCGTGAAATTATCGTGAGCCGAAGTGAGGCCGACAGTATGGCGATCGTTTGTTTCGTGGTTTCGGTTATCATCGGAAACTTGGCTGGAAGTGATGAGCCCCGACAGTTTGACGATCGGTTATTTCGGTTTTCATCGGAAATTGTGAGCCTAAAAATTGGACCTATTACCTAATGAACAAAATTTTGATCTAGACAAGTCTACACGCGTAAAAATTATGAGCCCGCTGTTTAACAGGGTTGAACAATGTTTGTGCTTCCCACGTTGTTCACACTTGTCAACAATATTGAACAATATTGTTGAACCTGAATCGGGTGTAACAATATTTAACAATTATTCGCCGAAGGCGAGGTGATTATCGGGGATTAGTATAATTACATAGGTGATTATTGAAAATTCTCCACGCTGATTGGTTGCCGTTGAGGTGATTATTACGCGATAATCACCTAAGCGATTTTCAAAATGGCGGCCGAAGCCTTTTTGTCAATTAAATGACGAAGAAATGTGTATTTTTTATTTTTTTCCAAATAATCACCTATGAAATTATACTAAAACAATTATTCACCTCAGGCTCGGTGATTATCGTGAATAAAAACCTCGACTTCGTCTCGGTTTTTATTCCCCGATAATCACCGAGCCTGAGGCGAATAATTGTTTTAGTATTCTTGCACAAGTTTTTTTGTGTTTTTCTGGTTTGAATTCATTTTAATTTCGCTTATTTCTTTATCACTAACTTCAACAAAACGGCTAGGCGCCATTTTGAAAATTTCGATTTTGTTATATTCACCTGTACGTGAATATAACAGATTAATACGTCAAATTTGACCAATCGACGTGTAGGATTTGTTATGTTCACTTGTGCTAAAATACTAATGTTCAATATTGTTGACAACTGTGAACAATGTGGGCCACACAAGATTGTTCAATCCTGTTTACAACAATATTGCAACAACCTGATCGTTTTTAGCCGTGTACACGCGTAAAAACGCTCAGGTTGATGCAATACTGATGAAAACAGGATTGAATAATGTTTTGCTGCCCACATTGTTCATAGCTGTCAACAATATTGAACAATATTGTTACACCCGATTCAGGCTCAACAACATTGTTCAATATTATTGACAAGTGTGAACAACGTGGGCAGCAAAACATTGTTCAGTCCTGTTGAGCAACGGGCTCGGCGTTTTTTGCCGTGTAGATCAAAAAGCGGTATCTTTTTCAGAAAGCGGTATCAATTTCCCGTGCGTAATACAAAATGACTGAAAAACGGCAAACTTCGCAGGGCTATATTATCCGCGTTCTACAACATTTCGCAACGAAACTTTGGAATATTACTAATGTTGTGATGCTCTTTTAAAGCTGTGGTAAAATTTTTGTCTAGACATGTTGAGATCAAAATTTTGGCTACTAGGTAACAGGTCCATTATAAACATTTGGAATTAAAAAATGGCTGCAGCATGCAACTACAATCATTACAGTATATTCAAAACAAATTAACTCTGTTCAAAGTCCTCCGAGGATCAGTGGTTCAAAGTCAGTAGCGAGGTTCAGATTTGACTTCCACAACCGCTACCTCTCACTGGCTTAGAACGCATCTGATTGGTTAATCAGATATAGCAAGTGCATCTTATTGGTTAATGCATGATTCTTAATGGTATACTGGTAGCGGTAGTGAAAGTCAAATCTGAACTCTCTAATAATACAGAAATGCTATTTGTTTTTGTGGCTAGTCCGTTCGCGAATAACTACGGTAAAGGCTATGTTATTCACTTCCACGTTTGTATTCCAGATTTAATATTTGTATATTTTGCAATGAGACGCTGTTTATGTATTTGAACCTCAACCTGCATTCAACTCCAATCGCATTATAAACCACTACAGCGCCATCGCTGACTCTAAAATTAATTCTTGATTATTTTGGAACGGCAGTCTTAATTTTCATAGTTTAAACGGGATTTTTTTCGTTTACACACTATAAAAATTGAGTGAGTGCCTTTCCACAAAGAGAAAATATTGTTGTGCACTGAGAAAATATTGTTGTGCACTGAGAAAATATTCATATCAAACTTTCGCCCTATATGAATGAACATTTGCTCAAACTAGTGTCCAGTCGCTTAATGTGAAGTTACAGACGCTCCATTCTAGGCTCAGTGTAAGATTAGCTATGCTGAACTGGTTTTGTAATACCTTCTTTAAATAAAGCTCATTATTTAATATTATTATTATTATATGGCGGAGAGACCAAAGCCCACGCTTCGAGATTTCCCAAGCATAAACTTCAATTATAATGAGGCAGAATAACTAAAAAGTACATTTTACTAAACGCAAAATCA